GAGGGCTTGCCGCTGCCTGCACGGCGAGCGCGGTGTTCGTCGCCCCACCCGTAGCTGCATATTCCAGCACTAGGCCGGCCTGGACGGACAGTCCTTCTCTCAGGTCTCTCTTTGTCGGGTTTCAAAGCTCTAGACTATTTTGTTTCTGTATTGTTAGGATCGCTGCTTTCGTAAATTCTCTTGTAAGCTTTTAGTCTCCCACTTTCGACTGCCAGACAAGGATCCACCGCGAAGGGACATTTGCCCAAACTGCTATGGAGAGCTCAAGCCAGACGGGTTCAGAGTATATCGAATTATAAACTTTGGAAAGATGACTTTATAGTAAACCCTTCTTAACCGTCTTATCGAAAGAAGCCATCGAGATCCGACTCTGATGTGTCTGCGCAGCCGAAGGTTGATGCCCCATACATGAACATGCCGAAAGGACTTGGCCAAAAGGCCAGGACATCTCCGTACCTATAGGCACAGATAGATAGGTGTAGGTTCTCAGGACAGTCGCTTCGTGACTGCTTTTCACAGCCTCCGAACCGACCCAGACACTCCAATTGAACTCGAAGCCGCTGGCTGAATCGCAAGCCCCATGATTCGATCTGCACATGTCGAACTGGCAGGATAGACAAAGACCAACAGTCCTAATTGCCTGGCACTCCTCCTGGCCTCGCTGGTCAGGCGACTTATCTCTGTGAGCATGGACTGCATGTGACCTCCGAACGTTGCTTCTTTGGGGGCCATAGCTCCTCATGCTTTTGAACCCTTTAGAATGAAAGCTTGTGCGGGTAGGGGTAAGCCGAAGCATGGCACTTGCGTCGGCAGATCCGCTCATCACCACCATGACCCGCATCACGACCCTCAGCACCAATGAGAGTTATCAATTCACGTAGCACCAAGGAGGCGGCCCTCCACTTGCAAGACCTGGGCAGTCGAGATCAGGCTTGCTGACATAGGGAATGAAATTTACCAACATGCTTCAGACAGTATCCTCTACATCTCTACATTGGTTGTTGGCCATACCCATACTGCAATACCTGCAAGGGTCCTGCGGCTGAAAGGCTAGCCCCTGCGGACGAACGTCTCAAACTACCCCCCGCCCCGGTAATAGCCAATCGCGATGCCGATCGAGTTTTGCATCGCAACGCTCAGGTATCCCCAGGGTCGTGGCCGCGTTCGGTCGCAGCTTGTACCTGAGTACCGACGCTAAGCCCACAACAGTCTCTCCTCTGCAGGGCACTCATTGTCAGCCTCTTCGTGCAAATCTTACTGCTGTATCCTGAATCCTCTTGATACTTCGCATCTTGCTGAACTTTCGCCTCGCTCCCTGCACGGCCCATTTCAATTCCATGCTGAATGCCTCGCTGCAAACGCATTCCACTTCCACTCTCGGCGCAACGGCAACTGTGCGCTATGTTGATACAGATTTCCTGCAAACTCCAGTATCGCCGAGGCGCTCCTCCAAAAATGCCTTGGGCACCTGCCACAGGCAGCTGATTCGGTCCCATGCAAACCAAAGCTAAACCTGCCTGCGTCGTCGCGGCGAAGCGGGCTGAAAATTGAGTACAGGACAGATGTACCGTCTACACTGGATGCCTCTCAACACCAAGCCTGACATAAACCCGAAGCTCCACAAGCCGAAAACCACAAACAATCCGAAACCCCTGCACCTTGAACCCGAATCTTGAAGCACAGCCAAACTGGGACTATGTTAGCAGTCGACCATTTGCGATACAGTTTCCGCTCCCGCTGTTGGTGTCGCCTGCGCAGTTGCCACCTTTGCCATCGTTGTCGTGTTCTCGTTCTTGTCACCAGTACCCCACAACTGTTGTGCTGTTGCCAAGTGCCAGCAATCTTGTGATCCAGTGCAGCCGTTGCCTCGGTCCGCACCTCCAGAAGGGGTCCTCCCATGCACCTTGGGGCTGTGCTCTTCGGCTCTTCGGGATCTGAAGCTTGAGTAGCAGCAGTCTTAGCCGAGGTGTTCGGGACTGTGTTTCGGCCTCCCCGTTTTTGCGGGATCCAGACTGAAACTTCGCGGCATGATAGAGCGATGCACTTTATCTGCCGCTGTACACATTGAGCGAGTTGGGCTTGCACTGAATTGGAAGCTGCACGCCGTATCTGTGCTATCTTCAGCCTACGGAATGCCAAGATTCCTCGCCCCGCAGAACCCTCAAGCCTTGCCAAATATTTGACGCACCGTTCCTGCATCTGGCCAGCGCCTCGCACCCTTTTGCATCCCTCCAGCCCTCCAGACAAGCCGGGCGCAGAAGTCTCTGGCATTGCGGGGCCCGGTTGCCAGGCCTTTGCAAGTGAGTCGCTCGGATTAGGAGGCTTCCAGGCAATCAGTCTCATCAAGTGATCTGTTCAAGCTCCACGACCACCATAACGACGGTGGAAACCACCAGCATCATCAGCATCATCATCCTGATCATCCCCATCCTCATCCTCCTTATGCTCATCCTCCTCATCCTCATCATCATCCTCTTCATCATCATCATCATCATCCTCTTCATCATCATCATCATCACTATGACCATCACCACCACCACCCACCCAACCACACGAAATATGTCTTGCAGTGCTATCGTCATCGTCATCACCACCATCATTATCAGCATTATCATCACCACAACTACGACCCTCACCGCCATCATTACCCATCCGAATCATGGCCACCGCATAAAATGTGAATCGCAAACTGGTTCAGAATGGAAGCAGGTTTCTCGGAGCTTAACGCCGGAACTTCGGCCACTACAACATCCCGAATCAGCGTCGGCATGAGCCTAAAGGTTGGGTGCTCGAAGCTTCTGCTTCTGTGGTTGCATGGTGTCCATCTGCCAGACTAGTGGAATCTCAGGCTGGGCAGGGCAGTGTCCTTAGTTTTGACAGCAGGCTGGCAACACGCTTTGAAGGCTCTGACACCCCCATTCCTCTGCTTTCTCCCTCGATTTTCCACTCGTCACTGCAGGCCTGCTTGCATGGCAAATGGCCGAACGCCTGGGTCCCTACCCAACCTCAGCATGCGACGCATCCGTGGTGCCAGTGGCACTCGGCGTCTCTGCCATTGCGAATAGAGGAAATACATTCGGGAAGGGCTTTAAAGCCGCATGCTTTATCGCACACGATGCGCGACATCATTGTGTTCGTTGAAACTAGTTACTAGTTGATACGACGCAGAGACTTGTGAGCTAGGTGAAGATAGCTGTCCTGAAGCCTTGCTCGATGTGATCTGTCATGTTGCGATGTTAGCACCTACATTACATTACAATTACAATTACAATTACAATTACAATTACAATTACATTACATGACAGTACGCTGCAGTACAGTACAGTACAATGCAAACAATCACACATACATGTTACTTATCACACATACTGCTATTTTTGTGCCAGTTCTACCCTGGAGCACGGTTGGTTCAGCATGCGGCGCATTGTTAGTCAAGTCTGAGTCAAGTCCACAGTTGGGGAGTGGACAGTATGAAGGGTTAGCCAATAGACCCAACCAGCGGGATCCCGACCGCAAGAACACCACAACGTCCTGTAATGCGGCTGATGATGTGCACAAGTGGTCAGCTCAGTTCACAAGTATTTGCTGCACCTACCATGAAGATGCGCATGGCTGATCCAAACATGCAAAATGCACAAGTACTCTGGTGTGTCTATATGTTTGTCAACATGTTTTAAATTTAGTGCTTATGATTGTGCTGAAATGGTATATTTGTTATATGTAGGTCTTTCCACTACGTATTCTTCTAAAGTCTTAACAAGCCTCGATTGGCAGATGTGAATGTCAGGCCGAGCCCAGGTGCCCCAACCTCAATTTACAGACTCTCCTCAACACACAGAAGCCTTCCAGCCTTCATCGACACCCATGCCCAGCACTTGCGGACCCACGAGACAGCTTTTTCGAAACCCTCTGACATCCCCTGCAAAAGACTCCAACGCATCGCGGCCGGCTGGGCACGCTTTGGCGGTGCTACTATCAAGACATCTCGCGTTGCGGGCGACAACTGGCATAACAAAAGTTGAAGCACTGAGACCTACTCATCTTCCCTGTGTTTCGAGGATCGCTAGAGTATGACTACTGTGAGTGTGAAGCCGGTGCCTGGGCGTCCGCTGCCAAACAGAACAATGACATTTCCCAACAGTTCCACTTACGCGACCCAAACAGTGAATGCGCACACCACCATGGCGGGAAGACGAGCGGGACCGTGGTGGGAGCACGATATGTGAGGCGCAAAACACGAGTTTCAGGCAAACTGTCGATTGACAACAGCGCAGACTTCCAAAAGCCTCTTGGAATGGCGACCACACGGCGAATAGTGGGGCTCTCAGGGACATTTAAGGACTTCGAGTGATTTGAAAGCAAACATGGGCACGGGACTTTGGCGCGAGCACGACTTCCATCCAAAGCACCCAAACAGCACTCTGGCAGAAATTCAATTTGTTAAGTTCGCCAGCGCCGAAGCATAGGATTTTGCAATGACTCCAGCGTCTGGAGTGTGCAGCCACAGCGGGAGCTGCGGGACGGCTGCGTTCGCTGCTTCGGCGACACAGTGATTTATGTAGGCCTCTTTACCCTGTAGGCAAGAGCTCCATGGTGCTATTACGCTTTTTGGGAAGAAACAGTGGCCTTTGACAACAACAATAACAATACCAATAAGCATAGCCACACTAATTATGAAAAACTGAGGAACAATACACATACGAATTTCTAAAAATATCATTAATAACCAGGAATACTAACAGCAATAATGACATCATCACCATCATCATCATGATCAGAACCATCATCATAGGTCAAGCGCCAGAGTAGGGCACGTAAGCCAACCATGTGCTGTCGTAGATCTACACAGCCCAGCCGCCCAAAAAGCCTTTTGGTGAGATGCTTTCTGCCTGTAGTTGCAGGAAGCAAGAGGTTTGCGGCTTTGCAAGTTCAGTTTGGGAACCCGCGGAGTAGCGGGTACCGGAAAGCCGGTGAAGGAGCAGCTCTGCTCGAGATTTGCCTCATTTCTTCGGATGCTTGAAGATCATGAAGTAGATGATGACAATGACGGTCACAAGGAGGATTAGCACCATGCACCATAACGCGATTTTCTTGGCCTGGGCTTGGCAGTTACATGTCGCCAAATGCACCCAGCTCTATTGGTTCTACGTGCCTGTGCGCAGCTGCTGTCTTTCAATCCGAACATCTAAACTCTGGCCGCCTGTGGGTTGCCTGAGCATGCCACTAGAGGGTCTTGCGCTGCATCATGCATTGCGTTTGGGGACCGGGTCGAGGCTTCGAACAGTGATAAAGAGCTGAGTCGGAAAGCTTCGCAAAGTTCAACATGCTAAGGGAAATGGTGCTAAATCATCCCGAACTGTCCGGAATCCCCTCCTGGCCCCTCGGAGGTCAAGCAGCCATGGCCCTCCGGTACATCTGAACCAGCACTCTCCGTGCCCCAGAGATATTGTCGTCAGTGGCCTGAGCTCGTGCGGCTAGTGGTGCCATGCACACCAGGATGAGGTGGTGTTGCCAAAACGGCCAGCCCCTAGACCGGTCTGCCCGGGCTTGGACGATCAAACCAAATCTATGTAGTGAAACGAAGTCTGCAGAGGCAAGCAACTGCTCAACAAATGTCAGATCACCTGCACGTGAGCGTTGATCCTCTCGATGCCCTCACGCTGTCTGGCCAGTTCACCTCGGATCAATCTAAGAGCCCTTTCCACACTACTTTTTTGCGAATAACGTGGTTCGTAATGCAATGTTCCCACGTAGAACATCTACAAAAGCTGCTGCGCTGGTCGAGCTCAAGAAGAAAGCTTCAGTGTCGCGGTACGATGCGACGACGACGACGACGACTACTACTACTACTGCTGCTACTAATACTATTACAATTACCACCACAACTACCCTACTCCTAGTTTACTGCTTCTGCTGCTGCTATTGCTGCCACTACTACTACCGCTGCTGCGACTACTACCACTGCTGCTCCTGCTGCTGCTCCTGCTGCTGCTACTACCAATGCCAGCACACCTCCGTGGACTTCGAAGCCATTACCTGGGAAAGCAGTGCTGGGCTCTGCCGGGGCGCCGAGAACCTGGAAGCCAGTCTCCTCGGTTTCCTGGGTTGCGGGTTTTGGTTTGGCCTTAGGATAGGTTTGGGCTTTCACATTCGCACACGGCAGGAAAGGCTCCGAATAGGTTAGGTCTAAGCTCTCGCAACTCGGATGTAGGTGAAGTTTAGGGTTCAGGTTAATGTTGTGTTTACGCAAACTTTGTCACACTTCAGAGAATGGTTTCCGCGATTTCGGGTTGTCGAGTTGGGGTAACTTAGGGCTTGTGAGTTTCGGATCCCTGAACGGCCAGGCAAGGACTTGTACTTCTGGGAGTTTTACAGCGGCCTTGGGGCTGTGGGTCTTTTTGACAATTTTGGGCGAGGTGGTAGAATAAGACGGTTCCGGAGAGCAACCGGTCCTTCTTCTCTAGCAGTTGTGGATGCAGGTAAACGTTCAATGAAGACTCAAAGCACCTAACAAGCGACCCCTCGTTAGTCAGCACGGTTATTAGTAGTAGTACTAACACTTGGGTACTGATGATGATGATGATGATGATGATGACTATGATGAAATAACCGGGCGGCCAGGGCTGCGCGCGTGGCGCCGTTGATCCGGGCCCGGGCCTCCTCGAGCTTCTGCTCACCTGGGACCGAGGACGGCTTGAGTGTCACTGGTGGGTCTTTGCCTGGTGTTTACAGGTTCTATAGGTGTATAATTTAAGGGCTTTGCGAGGGTTTCGGTCGGAAAATTTGTCAATCTTCGTTGGAATCGAACTCTTCGTAGTTACATGTATTGAGTTCCAGTATTGATGAGCAGGCCTCGTGCACTGAAGCCGTCCGAAACTTCAAAGATTTATCCAAGAGGCTAGTCAGTAGCGCTGCATCCCGCCCGTCCTGGCCACGCTGTGCCGCCATCTCCTCAAAGGGCTTCCAAGCTGAGGAAGCCCAGCTTTGCAGCTAAAGCCATGGCTTTTAGCTGTGCTTGGGAGTGCTTCGGAGATTTCAAGCGCCAGGTCCCGGAGCTGCATGCAAAAAAGGCTCCTCTGTCCTCGAAGCTGTGGATTTCCGCGGGATGGTGGCAAGCAAGTGTGGAACTTCACTCGGCCGGCGTGTTGCTGTTCTTAGGGCTGTTCGGTCTGCTGCAGGCTACGAAACAATCATAATTGGAAAGCTGCAAGTTTACATGTCGATGCCAGATAGCTAGACGCTTCAACGGCATGCACCCGCCCTCTGTGGCCAGTAGCTGGCAATCATGATCAAGCACGCGTTTCTGCGCTAACTCGGGCAACGCTTGCAGCTGGAAAGGGCCGCGGTAACAGTGATATGCATCACTTTCACATGGATGCAAGCAGGGTTCTGGGAGACTAGCCTGCTGAAAAGACGGCCTCATTGCGACCGAGTGTAACTTGCGAATAGTGAGAACCACAGGAGTCTCGAGCATGCAAAGAACCTGGATAGCATCTACAGGCTCCAGGCTAAAGGCATCTTCTCTGACAGTTCGTGCGCACCTTGCCCGCCTGTGTTGACAAGTGCTGCACTATTCAAGCAAAACTATCGTAGGACAGTAGGTTTCCTGTTGCCCTTGACCATCACCTCTTGTGCACAGCCCACAATTCGGAGTGTGGCACTGGCCGCATACACGTGTTTGGAAATTCGTCGTTTCAGCTGGCTTCGTGAATTTGTGGGTCTCATGGTGGTGCGTCGCTGTCGTGTGCCTCATCTTGCTCGCTGTCGTGGACGTTGTGCTTGTGCTATGCTTCTGCCACTGCTGGTTGCGAACGATGGTTGCGAGGTTTGCGGTGCAGCGGTGATGGCGGTGCTGCAGCGGCGTTGCTGGGCTGGCGGCGGCAGTGGCAAGGCAGTCAATAGCGGTGAAGTCACGGCTGTTGTGATTGCTCGCATCTGCTTCTACCTCTACAAATTTCCTATGTTTCAGCTTCGACTCTCCGACCCTCCCAAACTCCCGCATCGACATTCCGATGCAGAACCGGCGGCATTTTGCTGTCAAGCTATTTCACGCCACCTCAAGGCTCGTGGCCTGCAACAAGTTGATGGTGCAGTGCGGGCAGGGGGTTGACATCATCTGCTGCTCACAGCTTGGAGGCGAGATATTACCATGACCACCAGCAGTTGCTGCTGCACTGACAACATTAGTCTGGGGGAAGTCCGGGAAGGTGGTTGGGGGTCTGGGCATCCCTCGATCTCAATTCCTAACCTCACAGCAGCCGGCAGGAACAAACAAGAAATGAAGCAATGCTGGAGACTGGACGGACGCCACTATTGTATGTATGTACGTGTGTATGTACGTATGTGTTTGTGGTATGTATGTATGTAGGTATATATGTAGGAATGTAAGTATGCGCAAGTGTGCAGGTATGTAGGTCTGCAGGTATGTAGGTAAGCATGTATGTATGTATGTATGTATGTTTTTTAAGGATGCACATGCACATAACCTATTTCCCCTCTATCTGACTCTATTTGCCCATGTATAGGCTCTAGCATGTGTACAGATACGTACAAGCATAGAGAGCCCTTACAAAGCAGTGGTGGCCTTAGCAGCGGCACAGACTTCGCCCGCCGCGCAGCCTGTTCTGCAGCCTGGGGTCACTCCCTACGTGTCGGGCGCTTTGGGGGAGTCTCTTGGATTTTGAAGCTCCCTCCACATACCTTGTTTTTATGTCCGAACAGCTCTAGGCCGCAACACTCCCGTTAAAACAAGTTTGAGGCTCTCTTCGTTCAAAAACAAAGAATACTCCCGGCTACGACGACTCTAATCTGCAAGCCGTCAGTAACCTGGAACCCAAACCCCAAGCCCCGAAACCGCAATTCTGAACCTGAACTATGAACTCGGAAGCCTAAATCCGCAGTCCTGAACCTTAAAAACTTTAAGACCCTCAGGCCCGTCTTTTATCGAAACCGTCAGCCCCAAACCTGAACCCCAAACTCAAAACTCCCCTAAACTCCACAAACCCCTAAAGCCACAAACCTAAACCCGAAATCCTAAAGACCAGATCATGCCTCGGCTGCTTCGGCAGCCGCCAACTCTTTGGCCTCGCCGGTGCAGGTTTGGGTTTTGTTGCCGAGTGCTTGCGGAACGAGTCGCTAGGCAAGGTTGATATCAACATGTTGATACAACATGCATCAGTACATTCGCCATGCAAGCCTTTTCCATGAAAGCTTGGGCGTTCTTGAAGGACAACTTCTTCGACACCCCAAACTCCATGCTTGCTAAGCTGCTCAAAAACAGCTTACCGGTTAAATCGTGGCAGCGCTTGGACGCAGGCCGTCACGGGCGCCCCATCCAAGGTCTCCATGGCACTGGACCTAGGGCTTGGGGTAATCTCCTTTTGCGAAACTATTGCACAAAAATAAACGGGGTGCGATTGCGTGCATGTTCTTACAGTCTCACAGGGCCTTGATTGATGCGGGAAGCTAATGAAGCAAGTGTGAGATACGTCGAGAAATTGGAGCTACGGTCTGGGTGCTTAGTGTGTTTTTGAGTTTACTTGGAGCCGGACCCTGTAATGAGGGTTCCAGATCAAGGCATTTGGAGTGTGTGCATGCGTGTGAATCGATAATTGTTCTGCTGCCTTTAGTTTGTAGCGAAGTATAACGCTGGCATCAAGCCCAGCCATTCCCACTCGCCTTACACCGCCTCTCCGCAGGCGGTTGTGTGTGTGTGTGTGTGTGTCACCACTCCCGAATCGGCACTAGGGAGAACGAAAGTTGCGCTATGTAGCGTTAGAGGAGATTTTCATGCAATGCAGGGGGCAGGAGCTCTCCCTGGGGGTCTCCTGCCAACGAAGACGCCTCCAGGGAGGGGTGAAAACGTACCTGCTGTGGTGCACNNTGCACCTGGGGAGATGGACTCCAGCTGGTGGCAAACTGGACTACAGGTTTCCTAATCGCTTTCCCCTAATATTAAACCCCCCCTCCCCCTCCCGCCTAATATAAAACTCAAATCCGGGGATTTGGTTTTTTCATATCAGCGGGGGTTTCGGCATGAATAATAAGTGAGTCAGACGCAACAGTCGTCCATCACGCAGCCTGTAGTAGTAGCAGCCCCAAACCCTGGAGCCCTAAGCCCTGAACCTTGAGCCCTAAACCTTAAGCCCCAAGCCCTAAGCCCCCAAACGATTGAAGAGTCAACATCCGAAAGCTTCAAACGCCTGCAGCGCAGCAGCAGCAAGACCTTAACCCCGACCTTCGTGCGTACAATGAATCTTGCCCAAAATTCTTCCGGCCTCTCTGGCTCTACCGAACGCTGAAACCCCAAAATCCAAACCAGGTCCCGGCTCGTCTTTCGCGGCCTCAGCGAAAGGTCAAGGCTGGGGGTGGGGGGCTGTATACCGGCTTTAGCTTGGGCCTTTGGACTTGTAGCTTCATGCCTGCTTTGTGACTGAGCACCCCCGCATTTCTTGAGGATGTAGGGTGCTTTCTGCAACTATTCTGTATTCATCATCAAAGAGGGACAGGCCCACTCAATTTCGCCCAAGCCTGCCGACTGCCTCGAAGTGAGACGTCTTGGTTGAGGCTGTAGCAATATACACAAGCTCATCTAAGGTATCCTAAGATGTTCAAGATGGCACAACAGCTGGAGGGCAAGCGTTGTTTCGGCAGATGCAAATTCTATGAGTCTATGGCTCTCGATGGCAAAAGCCTCAAGGCACCTCTGCCCCGTGAAGTCTGGTTACAGACTGCCTGAAATCATGCCACGCAGGAGCCTGCGAAATGACGTGTGCTTCCTACTGCTACTAGCACCATGTCAAGGACGAAGACCACCACCACTGCTGCTTCCTCGACAGAACTGCTGCTGCTACCGCTGCCGCTGCCGCTGCCGCTGCCGCTGCTGCTGCAGCAGCAGCAGCAGCTGCTAATTAGTGCTGCTATTGCTACTGCTACTGCTACTGCTACTGCTACTACTACTACTACTACTACTACTCCTGCTGCTGCTGCTGCTACTACTACTACTAGTACCACCACCACCTCCTACTGCTACTACTACTACTACTACTCCTACTGCTACTGCTACTGCTACTACTACTACTACTACTACTACTACGACGGCGGCGGCGACGACGGCGACGACGACGACTACCACTACGACGACGACGACGGTCGGCCGCCGCCACCACCACCACCACCACCAGCAGCACCAGGACCAGGACCAGGACCAGGACCAGGACCAGCACCAGCACCAGCACCAGCACCAACACCAGCACCACCTCCACCAGCTCCACCTCCACCACCACTATGACTACGCTGACGACGCCTACCAATCCCGTAATCATCAGCCTTAGTTCGACCATTCGACCATCTTGTTCACAACAAAAGAACAAGGCTAGCGGGACGGTGTACACGGTATCGGGGCTGCATCGGCCGCAACAGTTAGAATAGGGGCACGTTCTCTCACAAGTAGTATAGGAACAAGAACGGACATGATTTGTGATCATCCATGGGCCCTTATAAAAGCTGTTAGAACCCTTATCCCCACATCTTCGTTCACGGCGCTCCTCCGTGCAACAAACATCAAAGTTCCGATGTCAGCTTCGCTGGGCCGGAACTCCGATGTCCCAAGCCACCGGCATTCTTTATGTATATGTATGTATATATATAGATATAGTTATGTGTGTATACACACATAACTTTATGCATTTATATCTCTGTCTTTTCCCGTTCCCCATAAAATGCATTAAATACATTATTTGATGTGAAACTGAAGCTGCATTATAAATGGGTATCCTACAAGCAACTACTACTTAAACAATTGATTTAATTGGTGTATCACATGATGGAGTAAGCTATAGTATACTGTAGCATAACATGGCAAATTAAAGTATACGTATAGCATGAAACTGCATCATATAGCATAATACAGTACAAACAGCATTCAGCAAGATACAACATAACGCATAAGATACAGTTTGTATGTCATATTAAGTGCACAATGTGTAGTATATGCTATATTCAACATTATACGTAGTCTACAGTGTATGCATGTATTATGCTTTATAGTGTGTCGCTTCCTGTATACATCTCTCTCTCTCTCTCTCTATATATATACACACACACACAGACGCGCATACACATAACTACATAGTATAATACACAGCCGATGCAGTGCGGGCAAACATGACAGCATTTAGTTGGGGAGGCGAGGTCTAATGGCGTGGAGTCCGGAAGCCTTGAAGCTTGTCAGCACGCGTCCCAACACATACCTCTAGGGTCACTAGGGCAGGTGAATCAGGCGAACAACTTGGGGATGCTGTTTGTGTTGCCTGCATCTGTAGGTGTAGGAAGCGGAACAGCGCTGACGGCAGCTGCATATGTGATGAAGCTGGTAACTCTTCATGATCAGAGCTGTGCTAGAGAGGATTGCCGGCGGCTTGGTCCGCTGGACGTCCACTCGTCCGAGTGCGGACGCTACATGGGACTGCCTTGTGTCCTGGCAGAAGCTGAGAACTCGCACAACGTGGCAGAGGATGACAGCTCCGTCATGCATAGCAGAAGAACAGACAGCGTCATGAAGACCTGATTCCGCTCTGAGCCCCGTGGTCCAGGTCCTTCGGAGAAGGCAGTCTACTTCTTCTTGTTCTTTGCAATCTGGCGCTTGGGCCTGTACCTCAGCGGATGCATCGCTTATCATGCGAAGAGAAAACCGTCGCCGCCTTCCAAAACATCCTTGTTTTACAAAGTGAACCCGGCAACACCTCACTTCTTCCGAGCTTATGTTCTCATGTCAGAATTTGTGCCGGGCCAGAGAAATCAGATTCAAACACTCCATGCACATCGGTTTGGGGCCATGGGAACTTGGGCAAACCTCCAACCTAGACCAGTGATTCAACAATCGATGGCTGAGGTAGCTTCGTCTTCCGGTGGCGGGAACAAAAAACGATCGCGACTTTCATTTCGATGAGCTCAGACTACTCGCTTGCTTGATGGTTCGCAGCACAACGTTTCAGCGTCAGGTTTCAGTGTGTGTGAATCCAAGGATACCCGAGGCATGCAGCCCCTGCGACTGCCATGGGAGCACCTGAACTCAAGAAGTATGGGGTAGGGTGCTGGGGGCATGTTTTGGCTAGCGCATGGATTACTGTCGTGCGTTTCTGCTGTTTTCGGGGTTTGCTCTTCCGGTCTCTGGGGGGGGCGGGTTGATAACGTCCAGTTTGCAACCATCATAATGCTACTTCCTGTGTCGCAGCAGCCGGGCTCGGCTTCTGGGGTTACAAATCGGACGGTACAGGTTAGGAATTCCTCGGTATTTACAGGCTCTGGCGCGGTTTTAAGCTTGAAAGTTGAGCTCCTGAGCTGAGCACGAGTGCGAAGAAATGTGAAGACTCTTTCAAGCATCTTCCCCCTAAGACCCTCCACACAACAGATAGTCTTCCAGCCCGAAAATAAGNNCATAAAATTCCGCCCCCGTCGAAAACTCCTTACTTTCAAGCTTACAACGCGCCAGAGCCTGTAAATACCGAGGAATTTCTAGCCTGTACCGTCCGATGTGGCATTTATGTTGTTGTCCACCGAAATCGTGCTGATACCACACGTTTCCTAGCACTCAAGCACAACGTAGCACTTTTTTTACCTACCCAAAACAACCTTAAAATGTGCTGAAAACTGTCGTGAGAACACAACTTAACCAAAATTCAACGACAAAAAACCATGCGGCGGGATGTTTTTGCACAACTGTCTAGCGACTCTAAGGGGGTATCATTACTACTTCTTCAGACCTCTTTGCTGTTGAAATGGCTCGGGTAATGCTTTTTAAGCCAATGCGGAGGTACTTCTCCAACACTTTGAACTCGTCGTAGGAGATGTTCCCGTCATCTGAGCCATCCAACCTGTGGATTCATCAGCCATTGACACGAAGCGATCAGAGAACCAGAATTTAATTGGTAGAAGAAAAGGTGCTACTTGATCTGAGACAACATCTACAAGGAGGCCAGAGCTGGAGATGATTGCTCGTCTCGTTACTAAGGGAAACACGCAGCCACCAAACTCGTCGGAGTGTTGTCTGCCAGTCTAAGCCGCCCTTGTACAAGAAGTACGCACTGCTCATGCATCAATCTAAAAAAACGGCCATTTGCGGAGTTGTCCGGAGCTATTCAGCTACGAGCATTGTGCTGCGTGCTGATCTGTGCCACGGGACAAGGCGAACACCACGCGAGACGGGCCGAAGTATCCTGCGCTTTAGAGAGTCGAGCTTGCTTCGTGATGCTTGGATCTTTGGCAGAAGGGATAAAGAGGCTTCGGCGAACGCCAAGCAGCCGAGCTGCATGCACTGATGGACCCGTAAGCTCAATTTGGGCCCAAAGCCTTCGGCCCAAAGCCCGAGTCCGGTGAAGCCTTTCCATGCGAGACACGTACCTGCGCATGCAGACTTGCCGGGACATGTGATGAGTAATGAGCATAGTCCTATGTCGGCCACCGCCTTGTTCCACTCGTCCTGTAAAGATCGGAAGCAAATCGAGACTGGCAGTTGTGCGGCGTGGGGAAGCTTCCGCCGTTGCACGTCTGGGCGAAAGGTTGGTCACTACTAGTACGATGTCGAAGATGCGCGCATGAGCCAAAGCTGCTGCTAAATATCTCTGCTGCGTGGGCGCCGAGGAAGCAGTTTGCGACTGCACAACTGTCGATTCGAAACATCCAGCATCCAAATGTATGCAGCTTAACGGTTGCAGTTTTCGGCCCAGATTTTCCAGCACACTGAGAGCACAAGACCAGCCCAGGAAGTTCCTCGGAGAGCTCGCCGCTCTCGTCGTCGTCCAGAGTGATCCAAGCTTCTTCCTACAGCTCGAGATCTGCTGAGAGTGCAAGATTAAATTGGGGCTCTTGCTGCAGCGCGGGCACTTTGTCAGGGAGATGCAGCTAGTAAACAGACCCGATGAAGCTCAAAGCCAATCACCAAAGCTTACGACCTCTGCGGCTCAGCATCCAGGTCTTCACCAAAGACAAAGATCAGGAACTGCACAAACTCCTCCACGGCGCGTGTCAAAACAGTGCTTGGGTTGCAGAAATGTTTCAGCTTTCATCTTCGAGCTCAGGGTGCCAGAAAACTCCAAGCATCTCCAAGCGCTGCATCGGACCTCTGTCTCTGTTGATGCCTTCCCATTTTCACGAGCTTGCTAGATGCGTCGATAGGGCGCATTATCGCAACGGCCGAAACCAAGCAAAGTAGCAGTCGTGGGCACAATTCGTTCGACTGTCGAGATTTTCATCAAATCATTTTGATCATTAGCAACAGCAAACATGTTGTCACAGTGGTACTACGGGTAGCCCAGTAGTGCTTAAGTCTAGCCAATAGCGGATGCGAAAGTGGTCACGAAGAAAAGCGACTAGAGCCAAAAGGTTATATAGAACAAGAAGGTAGCAGCATCCAATACATTGCAGGCGCCGAATGTGCTGCAAACACACCCAGCAATCTTGCGCCGACTTGCGCCCACTGGCCTGGATGCTCAGCACGAACCTGTGCTCAAAGCAATGGTTCACACTTCAACACGTTTCGCAGATCGCGCTGACGGCCGATCGGGCCCACGGGTCATTTCAAGTTACAGCCCTTTTGCAGCCCTTGCTTGGGAGCCGAAGGACCCTCAAACCTTGGAAACTCCGAGGTGCTCTTTCCAGAGTTGGTCCAAGATCTGCCACTCCTGCAGAGAAACATTGCCTTCGCCGCCTGGATCCAAATACCTGCCCGGGCTTTGGGCTCAACACTGTGCCTTGGACAGAAAGAGTTGGCTCCATCGGGTTGCTCGGAGTGTTTTCTTGCCGGGACCAAACTGTGAAATAGGGCATGTCCCAGATTCACCGCCCATCGAGAGTGGCCGATTTTAATGCACCTTCCTTGCCACACGAGATTTCAATCACCTGCAGGACCTGCATGCCTACCTATCTTCCCAGCTATATTGGCCCTGTCTATATTTCAACCAAAACTGCTCGAAGCTAGAAGCTTGGAGCTTCATACCCCTACCAACATCGCTGGCCATTGGACACTCACGATGCGGACAGCCAGTGGTTTAGGGTTGAGACGTATTCAGGTGTTGCCTACATGAGCTGGCGATGAGAGCCAAGTTCAGACTTCAGAGACGAGTGACCGGAAGACTGCGCCGATCCGTTCCTTCTCGTTCGGCCCCTTGAACCTCAGCTAGAAATGAGCTTTGAGCTCTTGCAGATGAAGTTTAGCGCAGATCCAGGGCTGGATCCCAGCACCCCAGGACACAACTGAAACTTCGAAGCCCCTTTCCCCGCAAGCTCCAAAGCCGACACGGGTCAGGTGGCTTGAAGCAGCCGATATCCTTCAAGCCCGCCTCGAACTCTCGCCTCAGCTTCAAAGGACGGCTGGGTCCGGGAGGAGTGCGAGACTCGGGACCGCAACAGATCCCAACAAGCGACTGGTCATGACTAATCCCTTTTTGCACTTCCTCTACGACAAGCGCTTTCATAGGCTCGCAGTTGAGAACCCAAAGCCGGCACCCCGCCCTGACCTGAAACTCAATATCAAGTCTCTGCCACGTGGCAATGTGAGCTCTCCATTGCTTGTGGTGTTTGCATTTTCGCCTTCCTTCACACCTCCATCGATGTCCCGGAAGGCCTCGTCGACCTGAGGACAAAGTCTGGAGGCTGCATTGCGAGGTTTAGTTGGATGCATGCTTGCACTTAGGCCCAAGTTGCATGGTTGTACCTGCTGATGAAGAACCTCGGCATAGCCGGAAGACTTGCCACCCAAACTGACAACCGAATTGTCGGCACTGTTCTGGCTGCAGTCTCCATGCTACGAGACATCTACTTATGTGAGGCCCCCCTTCTTCCGAGGAACGCTCGGGCTCCAAAGGTCGTGAATGCGACAGCACAATGCATCCTTCTGGGCGGTTTGTCCTAGAACCCCGCGGCCCCTGTCACATGGCAACATCGCGGCTTGGAGGCTCGAGCAGATCCAAAACGTCATCACCGGCCTCCTGGCGGAGTTTGGATCCTTGACCTCCCGCCTCGAGGCTTTTGTGGATCACGGACTCAAGCTTTGGAAGGTTCCGGCTTGGCCTTGGCCCTCGCAACCAAACCTCCTTGCAGAAGTCCCTATTTCGATTGATGCCAGCTGGCAAAGCCTTCGAGAATGGAATCTGTTCGGCTCTGTGCTGTGAAGCTCGTGCTACCCGGAGCTCCTAGAAAACTCATGTCTTGTGCCTTCAGGCCCGTCCACCAGGCGACATCGGACGGCGAGAAGTTCCCGGCCATGTAGCCTCGATGTTCAGGCTATACTAAGGGCTGCTTCCTGGTCTTTACGATTCCTCTTGATATCTTTTCCAGCTGGATCTTTCAAAACCTAAAATAGCACGACAAGCAAAGGCCTATAATTACTCGGCGGCCCCCTGTATGATGACCGGGAGGCCGTAAGTTTGGGCCAGCTTCTTGCGGAACTCCACTTGCCGATCTTCGGGCGAGCAGACGTATCGGCAGCGGAAGATGCCTGGTGAAGGGCGAGGTTGCAGTACAGGCTGCAAGGACCTTCTGCCGACTCTTGAGGAGCCGTGGGAGCTCAAGGCCTTGCGGAGGCTTCGGGCGAAGTCTTTCGAAAAATACTTCGACACATGCGCCTGCGGAGGGCAGCTTCGCCAGGTCTGCCCAACCTTTCGCGGAGATCTTCAAAACTTTGTGTGCTTTCGATTTTATGCGTTGTCCGAGCGCTCCGGCTTGACACTAAAGGTTTCATGTCTTCTCGCTCAGCTTTTCTGGGACCGAGGTGCTCAAAGAAAAGATCCAAGCATTCAAAAATTCTCGAGTCGGCAACAGTCCGCAACTTCTGTCGTCTCGGCTACATGTGGTGAGATGGCTACTAAAGTTGCCCTGTGCGCGCAGCTGATGCACCCCTAGCCCCAGCCAGTTCCACCGAAACCTCAACCGACTCTGTCCAAGAGAGGAGGCGCTTCTCGGAACGCCCATGGTCATCGGGTCCGTGGTGCCGTCCTTCAATGTGGACTTAGGATAACCTTGGGATGTTACATCTCCAATCGTCTCACAAAGTGATTCAAATGAATCCCCTAATCAACTGTGCGCCCGGACCAACCATCGTTTCAAAACCAAAGTAAGCCTACAGAAATGTAAGGCCCTTAGCCATAGAGACGTCCAAATGCATGAGTTTTCCAGGACAGCGCAATTTGTGAACTCTGCTTGTTTTGGGTTGTGGTGGCCCCGAAGGAAGAAAGCGAAACCTCCCTGACACGCTTTTCCAAGGCTTTCGACAACCTGAGTCCTCGTTCGTCAGAGAATAGTCGCGGATGTTGCCGTATTTCTCCTCGCATGCTGGAAGATGATGCCGAACAGTCAGGACACGAATCAACCGCAGTGGCGTCGTCTGAGCTGAGTTCGCCATAGTAGACCACAAAGAACAGTTTGCCAGTCCCATAGAACCCGAATTCCAGAACGACTTTCCCAACTCCAAAAATGTCATCACATATCATATCCTTGCATACACTCTGGACATTCCTACACCACCGGAACCCAATATTCTGAACTCAGCGAATGAAGCATAGTTTGAAAGTCGAGCTGCACGTAGCGCAAGGTCTACGAGCATGGACACGCAGAGTCGTTGGTCGTGATACTTCCTTAGATCTACGAACCACTTCACACTGCTGGCGATCAGATGAGAGCTGGGAGGATTCCTACATTGCCTGGGTTTCACTTTGAATGGTTAAGATCTTGGCATACCTTGCTACCCATCGCGCAAATGCACTGGCCCCTCCTGGTGGCACAGCGGCCGGCTTTAGATGCAACTAGGTTCTCGGTGCCGCCCCTGCAAAGCGAGCAGCAAACGATCCAATTGCAGCCAGAAGCCCATGAAATCCAGTACCCTGCTCCCATCAGACCCACAGCCCGACTGAGCCAAGGTGCAAATTGAGCACGAACTTGGTGTTCCTCGGTTCGCGATTTGTGGCTGGGTCTAAACTTGAGCAGTCTCTTTGTTCTGTGAAGCGCTGACTTGGACTCTTGGAGATTGTGGGAACGGGAGATTTACGTTTATGTGCTGCAGCATGGGGAGAAGGGAAGATAGAAAAAACAAGCACTGAGTCAGACATGCAACTATCTGCTAGGGGCCACACTATCGTGTCTGAACTTGAACGACCATCCTTCTGGTTCATCATGCCGCTTTTGCTGCAAGTCTTGGGGTTCTTGCAGCTCTTCCCCTTCAGGCGCTGCACACCCGATTTCCTAATGCTTGCAGATGGTCGGGCGCCTTATCTGTCGCACGGTGAAGGCTTACGGGCGCTGCGCAAATGCAGAGACATGAGATTCACAGCTGTATATTGCAAACAGAAACGACATTCTGCCCGTCTGACTGCTCATTGAACCCACTTGGAATATTGGATTCCGGACTTGGTTTCAGCGATCCTCGTGAACCTATGCCCATGCTCCCTTCGCAGCCATTGGGAACCTTCTTGAAAAACATGCCTGCTGGAGTTCCGCGGCATCTGAACGCGCCCTCGAACCCTAAGCCCCGGAACCTCAAGCTTATTGGCATCTTCCCATCCAAAGAAAGGCTCTCGGGCTGGATGAACGGGAAGGCTGCGCAGTATCCCAATCTGCTCCGGAGGCGGGAAAGCTCTTCCTGCCGTGCATACAGGAATTTTTTGGGTTGTTCGACTCACCCTCAGCAGTGCCAGACGAGGTGACGTGAACCCGTGGTTTTGGGTTTACGCTCTCGCAACTCGACAAGCCAGATGAGGTCTCGCGGTTCGCAGCATCGAGGGGTTTCAGGGTTCATGGGTTTAGGGTCACGGTACTCAACTGAAGCCGGATAAATCCTCTCAAGAGGATCAGGCACCATACAATTAGTCAACACTTAGCCGACGCGAGTTTCTACTCGCTACATGAGGTTAGGTAACCTCAAACACAAAGTCACGAAGGCCACGGCTCTCCCATTCCAGAGAATACACGGCACCCATCGCAGCATCTTCCTCAAGATGTACGATGAAACCCGCCACGCAAACAAGCTGATGAAGCCGCAAGTCGAGGCTTGGTTTTGGGTTTCGTACATTATGCTATGAAGGATTCGTTGAATGTTCGGCGCTGTTTCCGCATGCAATGAAGGTCCCACGAAGTTGTGCCTGTGGTCCCTGGTAGGCGGCCACTAACCTGCATGTGGGCCATGAACGGCCTGACGTTCCATAGCAGCGACTGCTGCCATTTGCTTGAAGCCGTTCTTTTCATCATGTGGCAGAGCAACCTAGCTTGGGCCAAGGCTTAGCAGCAATACATTGAGCGGCTTGGCTGTTTACGCCCGTCTCTGGAACCTCAGGGCAAAACGAGCCGTAAAAAGGAACCAGTGTAGGTGGTGTTTTTTTTCTGGACTTGGTTATTAGCGATTTACCGGCCCACCTGCAGTACAAACACCCGGGTCGTCCTGTTTCTCGAATCGGACAAGGAACTGCTTCGAGTTGTGCATGTCTATGATACCTTTCACGGCACGAGATCGTGAACACAAGGGCTTTGTTGCGACAGCCTCACTTGTGACCCAACCCGAATCCGAACACCCTTTCATGGCTCGCCGGAAGTGCCACCGTTGATGAACCAGCCAACAATGACAATCCCGAGCGAGTTTGTGATACCCCTTCATCCCAACCAATGACGGCAAGTCCCACAACCCCTTTCTTGGCCAGCCTCTCAGCCAAAAGCGCCAAACGAGCAGACACCTAACTCCTGCTGCCAGGCCACGCAAGTAGAATGTGACAAAGGCCTCCTCCCTCGCAAGGAAAGGATCTTCGCGTTCGGATGGATCCTCCCAGCTGCCATAAGCCAGCAATATTGGGCACCACGGCTGTTGGGTTCTGCCACGTGAACTTTCAAGCTTGAAGCGGCCTTTCCTGTCATGAGACTCATCAACTGGAAGATTTGGTTGAATCTTTGGCTTATGGTGCGTTCTGGGTTGGGGTCGTTAGCCTCGGACCACTTCTGCAAAGCTCTCCGCTCAAACTCTGCATCTCGGTCCTTGTCCGGGTCTTCTGCCACCGGATCCTTGAAATATCCTCAGATCACTTCGTCGTAAACAAGCCGTGGTTCCCGCTGCAGCTAATGCTCTGGACTTGGGTACGGTTCGCTTCTAACCAAGCACTGTGCACACAGTTCCGTCCAGGGGCCCACCATCTGGCGCATGTGCATGCAGGTGATGAAGATGAGATGGGAGATGCTGCGAAGGACCTCCAGGGTAGCCGAGGTTCTCAGTGTATCTCAGCCAACGTCTCCAAGCTGGGGAACAAAGGGTGTTCAGCATGACCCTCACCTACAAGCTTCAAGCTGGAATCCGACGTTTGTTAGTTGTTTGTGGCGGCCTCGAATCTATTGAATGTATTGTAGACGTGTTTGCTGATGCATTTGCACCCTTCAGTGCCTTGATCTTGTCCTGCGGCCGTGCCTCTGAGTAGTACCTCGGTCTTTCGGCAGGTTCAGCAGCCTCTTCGTTTCCCACTTCCTTCCGACAGCATTTCTTTCTCTGACTGTACATAAGTATCTATATGACACTGTGCCTGTTCCAGGACAGCAATCGCAGCCAACCACCACCGCCGTCACCACTTGCGCCCACGCCCTGACCTCTACCACCATCGCATCGCACCGCTACGGTCCACCACTCCCAACGCAGCAAAATCATCACTGTCACTACCATTATGTTCACTGTGACCGCAGTCACCAAAATGAAGTAGCCTGAAAGGTTCAAGGTGCATGGTGACCATCAAATCCTCCCACAGCTCGTCGCTCAGGGCCTCCGCATTGGCAGGTGGTCCTCAGCCGATCAGGGGCCGCTGCTTGTACTTGTCGTTATTCGTGTGTGTGTGTGTGTCCAAGAACTCTCGAGGCTTGTGGCCCAGCACAGCGTTGCTCTCCTAGCTCCAACTTGCCGGTCGGGCTCGGTAAGCGCTGATGAAGTCCAGCTCGAAGATATCATACCTAAGACGACCGAAGACCCCCATAGCCGTACTCCCACATAATATTGTTACCGAAGTATGAGAAAACAGATGAGCGAATCTGCATAGAAGGATAGAGCTTGAAGCATGAAGTGGAACAGTATAACAAGTGCATGTATACATCTGCCAAGCGGCTCTGGCAAACTCCACTCCGCCACTGACTTGACTCGCAAATGCAATGGGCGGCCCTGAGGTCTTCCAGGTAATGTCAAATTCAAAGACGTGACGATACTTGGAGGATCGGGGTCGCAGTAAGTGGTGCTACGTCTAGATGTCTAAAGCTATTTCTTCGTCCCGGCCCTTCGCAACTATACAGCAGCATCTACCATGGAGCACCAAATTTGTTGCATGAACATTTCGAATGCTTGAACTCAGAAGCGCGTAAAAAGCTCCGCGATTCAGCACCGGGGATTCGGGAGACGCTAGTTTCCAGGCCATCTCCACTGGCGGGAGCGTTTGGAATGGGGCCAGGGCGGTTTATCATGCCAGAGTTAGACTTAGACACTGCAGCCTGAACTCGTCACCCTATTCCAAATAATTAGGGCCGACAACCTGTCTATATATATATATATATGTACATACATGTATAATATATATATATGTGTGTGTATATATATATGTATATACATATATATAGAAAAAACATGAATAAAAATAAATAAATAAATAAACACAAAATATATATATATATATACACTACAATTTGCTCGATCTTCACCGCTCGCAAACTCGCTGAACAGCCAACGCTCGCACAAAAACTTTTTGAACAACCGCAGCGTGGGAGTCAGCCATAGATCAAAACTCGAACGTCTCTGATATGCAACATTCCGAACGGATGCTCCGATCACCAGAGGGGCGCACCAGATTGCTGGCGATCGCTCCACATTCATCCGAACGAAGATATCAGAGGAGGTGTTCCCCGCGAGCAGAAACAGAAACTGCACGAGCAACTAAAAGTCTTCGATCGGATCCGGAGTGGAGTCCGAAGCAACTTCGACCGGCTCTTCGAGAGCAGCATCGCGTCGCAAGGCAGCGAAAGCCGTAGGCATCGGCCGCGGATCACTCTGAGGAGCGGGATCTGCTCGTTGAGATGTCGAAGTGGAAAACGGCCGAGGATCAGCGGCCGGCTTCGCCTTCGGCTTTGGCCGAGAAGCACCATCAGACTGGTGAGCAGATCTACCACCCCAGGGATCGCCATTAGGCATATGAATGCCTTTGGGAGATTTCGGCACGGCAGGATCATCACGATCGAGGGTCGGAGCCATCCCTCATTTTGCCGTGCGGATCAGCACCTCGTCGCAGAACTGCTGCTGGACCGAGAGGTCAGAGTGCGACCGGTATCCTCTCAACACCCAGTGGAACAGGACCTCATTGCCATCGAAGACCTTCACATCCACATACGTGGCCGAAGTGTCGAACATGACCGG